TATGACAAAGCATACTAGGGCTATCTGCCTAAGGAAAAGAATGCCTTCGTGAAGAATTTTCTAAGGGTAACTGGCTCGTATACATGCTACACATGGGCACCTACTATGTAGCCAGCCATTTGCCTGGATTTCACCCAGGGCGCAACTACTAGTTTTTAGTGATATTACTGCCAGCCGATTAATAAGCCCTTGGATCCGAAGATAAAAATATCTGTTGCGTTGGTGAGAATTGATGAATGATTTATGCATACATGTTAACGATTACTGTTAGGCAGAGGAGAATTTTACTGAAGCCGAAGCTCTGCAGGTGAATTTATAACTAAGTGCTTCTAACTTTATCAGCTTGGTCCTAATTAGAAACACCGTACGTAATGCTGAACATAGTTTGTGCATTTTGAGTGTGAGAGAATTTGTTTACAAAGCGTTCACAAACCCTTGAAGCCGAAGATACTACATAGCTACCACGCTGGTGAGAATTGATGAATGATTTATGCATATGTTCCCTCTGCGGGGTTTGACTAGTGTGCTGGCAGAGATCACACTTAGCAGCCTCGGCTTCGCGGGTGTAAAATACATGAATCCGGTTCCTACGGCCAGAAAGGGCAACCTATGCTATCCCAGACTTTTGTGGCTTGGCTTAGGCCATCCGAATGAGTAGCGCGATGGAAAATGACAGGTCCTTCAATAGGCTTCCCACCCTTCGTAGTCGGAGATTAAAATATCCCTCAAAGGACAGCATTTGGGGATCTTCGAGAACACCAAGGCGGCTACGACGAGATAACTAAAGAACATTCCTGTGACAAACTTCCACGACGCATATAAAGCATATAAATCGCATTGGAACAAATGTGTTAAAGCAGAAAGGATAATGTTGCGTGCGTACGGGTTCGTTATGAAATGAATGCACAAGTCCGATGAAAAATGAAAAAAAAAATTATTATTATCACAACAAAATGCTTAAATTTTCTCAAATTATCATTCAGTATTACAATATCTCACAGTAGTTATCTTCTAACTACTCAAATGTTCGATAGAACGTAATTCAAAACAGCTAAAGAAAGCTAATCCGCGAATTCGCTACAATCAACAAAAGCAGTTTTCTAAACAACAACAAACTAAGCAACTACCACACGAACTGAGAAGTTTTCCTCCTTTTATAAGATTTTTAAATCGCGTGCGAGAATTTTCCAGTACTTTCTCGAAATCAAAAAGAGATATTTATTAAATGTTTAATGCACGCGCTCTTGTATTTTCAATTTTTTCGGCTTAGCTTTCTTTTAATAGTCATGACGCGTCAATTTTTCCGGCTCAGCTTTCTTTTAATATTCGTCACGCGCTGCACTGCGCGGGAAATAAAACCATTTAATTTATAATTGAACTAACATTAGATTTTTAAATACCAAATTCGTAACAATATATTTCGAAGAATATTGAGTAACTGTACGAACCGGTTCAATAAATTTCTTAAAAAAAAAAAAAAAATGGGTGCATTACTTTCAGGACAAACCTTGTACTTGGTGCTAATTAGAAACCCATAATTTGCTTATTCTGGGCTTTGGTCTTAAGCTTAGAGGTAGGAAGAAAATATTCAGTTTAGGTTTCATCTTCGCGTGGTAATTTGCAGCTCAGGACTCATATTTATTTAATTTTCGATTGCTAACATTCTCATAAATAATGTTATTAATAAGATAATCTAGAAATTAATTTATGTCAAATTTTGAAACCTTGTCTTTACATTTCAATTCTGCCTCAGATGAGAGACTTAATAAGTATTCACTTCATTAAAATGTCCTTGAAGCAAGAATGTTTTTTAAGATTAAAGTCTACTGAATTTTAGCATGATAAATAAAACTAACAGCTATTTCAATGTCAGCATCCCTCTTCTTATTTTCCTTAATATGGCGTTTTCCATAACAGGATTTTAATGTCGGATGACTGATTAATTAATGAGCTACAGTTAAGTAGTAATGTCTGATAAGAAATATAACAACTTAACTTTATTCTAAGTTTATAGCATGGAAGAAAGCTAATTAAAGAAATAACTAATGGTGACATTTTCTCCAGCTTTTTTGCTTTTCCGAGGTTGCTAAATCCTGAATTAGTAATCAGTTTGTTTATTTGGGTTCACTTTCAGAAATCGTCTTGCAATTAAAAGCCTTTATTTAGAAAGAAACTGTTTTAATGAATAAAAAAAAAATCTGAGGCAGAGGAAAAATTACGCATTGAAAAATGAAAAGAAAAATAATATTAATTTGTTTTACATTTATGATTTTATTTACTATTTTAATTGTTCTGAAAATAATAACATCTGTTTTGTATTCGAGAACTTTTATCCAAATATCTTTTCCGTTACACACAAAACGAACAACAGACTGCAGATCGTGTTTTGGAGATGAAAATTCAAAAAAGAAAAACATTCCTTACATTTTGTGTTGATTTCAGTTTTATACAAACTTAACTTTTAATATACATAGATTCCTTCCCTACATGATGTATTTATATTGCAAAATTTTCTTCTAACTTTCCAATCGTTTACGATCAACTACATCCAAATCGAAGCCTTTCATAATTATAAGAAACCTAGCCGCCTCACGAGCTCCGCTTATGAGTTCATAACATAATTTGAAAATAAACAGGCCTTGAAATTTTACTCTTTAACTTATCTTCTCTACAGATGTATGCGACAAAGGCGACATCGGATGGGATTCGATTACATATTTTAATAAAATTCATCCTTTTTAAGCAATCACCGATCGTGTTAGATGTCATTTCAGTTGTAAGGTTATTATTATTATTTATACTAACCAGTTATTTTAAGCTTTGGATCTCTACTGTCACTTTTCGTTTCCGTTTCCCTACCAGGATATAAATGTGATAGAATATGGTAGTATTTAAAGGAAGGTTTCAGGAGTTTAATTCAGAGCATACTTTGCCTTTCAAGGCAAATGTTAAGGCACTGGGTTAGCAGCTCAGATAAAAGTGTATTATTCGGCTTTGCATTACAATTGCCGGTATTTGAATTGTTATGTCGGTGAGAAGTATTGAGCCAACTTTGCGTTGAATCCTTTGCGCAGTCCTAAGCTACTAAACTTGGTTTTAATTTGTAACTTGAACTTACTATATCTAGTTTTAGTTTGCAACTGAATTTACTATATCTCTAAGTTAAAAAAATCCCTCCCCCCCCAAGTGATCGGCTGATTTGTAAGCACGAGTCATATCATGCATTTACGTTTAAAGTCCTGATTTAATAAAAAGGCCTATTTAAACCTTCTCAGGTCTCTGTCGTTAACTTCAGATGTCACCATAACTCGGACCCAGTCTGTTAAAAGTTTGGACTTAGTTTAGGCTACCGCAGCAAGTCAAACTTTGTATAGTTTATGAACCTTAACAAAAACAAATTGTATCAAAGCAACTGAGTATAGATATCGTAATTTGAGATTTTATTTTTAATCGTTCAGTATTTTTTGGATCCATTGAGATTCTAGAGAACATTGTAACTATAAATGTTCAATTTTTTCACTTACTCATCCGACTAAGTAAACTTCGGATATCGGAAAAACTTTTAATCTTCATATAAATAATTTCCTAATGAAAACGAAACGTTTTTGAAACACAGAAATTTAGTAGATTTAATAATCATACTGATGATTATTTTCTTCATTATACTTGAGATCTCGCTTTTCTTAGTTATTAATGAACATAAAAACGTTATAGATTTTAACATTCTTGAAAGAAATTTTTATTCTTAAGATAGTCGAAAAAAATCTTATATACGAACTTCTCATAATGACTAACGCCTCTAATTAAAGGAATTAGGCATCTACAATTAAGTACAAGATTTTACAAAAGTTCTTGCTACATTTAAATCCACTGTGACTTTGCACTGAGTTTTTTACTGTAACTTGTAATATCTCGTCGAAGCAAAAATTGTATTTCACAGTAGTGTTTAACATTTTTACCTCGTCACAATACAGACGGAGAGGATCACGTGACAAGGAATGAACATACGATTCCTATCTGACGACGATTAAAGAGATGAAGTAATCCATAGTGTGCTATGCAGTATGCTGTTGCTGTTGTGGTCACAGCTCAGTTATGAAGCTCAAGAGTAAAAGCTGGAAGGAGATGTAAAGTTTCTGGAGACAGGAAGTGTTCCACATTCATATCAAAACGGCCGATTGTAGACAAACGAGGAATCAGTTGATCAAATAACGTGAAGCATTGCGATGATGCATACAGATGGTGCGATACCACAGGTACACAGTTATCAGGAACAAACATGTTCCGCATGAATGCGACTCGGCATAATTCCAAACAGCATAGACTGTGGCACATGTTATTTGCAGAACTTTTGCGGAATCGAGATTCTATGGCTCCTTGCAGACCTTGTCATTACTTTGTCAACCATCTATTTTCTTGTCCTCGGCTGGCGTCTTGGCATAACAATTCCTATCTTCAGAATCATAGCATGTAGTATTTTTAACGCTTTGATCGTCAACGCCCTACTTTGATACATATTGCACGGCCATGGTCCACAACCTATTTCAATGCACTAGCGGACGACTTCAGCTCCGCATTCATAATCATGTGATTTTCTAATCGCGCAGTGCTACTAAGCAAAACTTTAAAGAGAACTACAAAGTTCAAACTTTGTTTCACTCAAAAATCTTCTTAAGCAAGTTATAAATAATTGCAATGTTCGAAGAATTGTTGGAAAAGTGTAGAAATTAATGACTATATATTTGAACTACATAACTAATATCCTCTCTTTTCAAAGCGAATCTCATGATTAAAGGCAGTGTTGTTGTTTGTCTCTTGAAGTACAATCAAACTCTAAAATTTGAAAACTAACGCCAAATTCTATTGGAGAGAAAAGACCATGTCTTTTGTCAAAAACCGTGTCTTCTTTTCTTTTTTCTTAAAATATAAGAGAGTACATTAATATATTAAACGGTAATTAGTAAAAACATTAAAACTTGTAAATGTATTAAAACATTTTATTCAAGATTTAGAAATTTAATTTGGAAATTCAAAAAGTCGAACTCCCTTTTAGGAATTAAATATACATTTTAATTAAAAAAGAAAGGCAGAATTCTACAGATAACAAAATAAACGGCAATGCAGTTTCGGGAGTTAATTTTTGGAACGTTATTTGATCAAATAATGACTGCCTTCAAATTCCAATGTGAAAGTTGATTATATAGGCAGAATTTCCTATCTGCGGAGAGAAAATTCCTCAGAAGAAAGGCATGAAATAAATTTGTAAGCTGTCATCTCAATCTGCATATCATTTTTCGTTGGACGTTTCTTTTTAAGCTCCATATTTGGATTTTCATTTCCTTGGGAGAGCTCTGAATTGAAAGAAATGTAAATTTAGATAAGCGTGAAGCACTGAAAAAGAAATGGCGTTAAAAAGAAAATGCTTTTATCTGTTTTGTATTATAATATTCTTTACAGATTAAAGCTGTGTTTGTATAACATATTCCAGCATACATATATTAATAAAAAGATTTATTCATAGATCTTAGGTTGAACTAAAGAAAGTAAAAACAGATAGAAACAGATATAATGCAACTGATGTGTTATTGGCGTTGATGTGTTCTTTCATATAACTTTAGATATAACTTAACTTTTCATATAACTTATATATGAACTAACTTATATATATTATTATAACTAACTTATATATGAACTTTCATATAACTTATATATGAATTTAACTTTTCATATAACTTATATATGAACGCTAGCTTTTATTTAAAAGCTAGCGTTCAACAATTCCTGACAAATTTACATTTTAAAGTTTAATTAGTTTTCCGTCAGGAAAATCAGATTCCCAAGGAATATAAGCTGTTGTCTACTCATACAGCAGAGGATGCTTCATTTCACTTCGAATTATTCATCTTTCATTTAACTTGGGAACAGAACAATTTCCATAAGTTGGAAAAAATGCAATTCTAAATGAATTTTTTTCTGCTGTAACCAAATTCATTAAAGAATATTTGCTGTTCATGTATCGCGACTTTTATGCACTGATTTCATTGTCATATATACAAAGAAAATGATGAATTTGTATGAAAATTATTTGTTTAATTAATATTTTACCAGTAATATAGCAAATTATATATTAAATCAATATACTTACAAAATATTAATTAAATTATAAATAAATAAGCTAAACCAACTCCCGACTTCCGGCGCTGAAAACCCTAGATATTGCTTTGATAGTTTGGATTTGTGTAGCAAGAATTTATTTTCACAAGCTCTCGTCATATTACAATCAGGAACAGCAGTTTTGTTGTTTTAGATCTGTCACTTGTTTTTGAATAACCTCTGGCCTCTGAATCCAAAAACTAAGATCAATTTTTGTCTATAACCTCTGGCCTCTGAATCCAAATTAGATCAATTTTTGTCTATCACTTCAACTTTTTAAGCTACGGGATACCCTCTCTTTATCTGAAAAGTCATACAGAATAGGAATATAAAGGTAAAACGTACCATATATACTGTTCACAAATAGACATTTTGTTATATACTGTTCACAAACAGACGTTTTGTTATATACAGTTCACAAACAGACGTTTTGTTATATACTGTTCACAAACAGACGTTTTGTTATATACTGTTCACAAACAGACGTTTTGTTATATACTGTTCACAAACAGACGTTTTGTTCATAGAAAGACTATAGATATATTACTACAAGTAAAATGTTGTTCATACAAAATAGTAAAGTTTTCAACCAAACGGCAGACATGCATATTAATGTTGCAACCAAGTATTTTGAAGCTCTCCAAAAGTTGTTAGACAAGTTCTGCTCTCGTGTATTTCCAAGAAACTTTTTGACAATGTTTTTGAATGCCATTCAAGCATTCATTTGAAGCTCTGTCGTTATGTTCAGCTTTAACGACTGCCGAATCTGCAGACAATTAAACACATCGGCCTTTATCTTTTCAAATGACAGGCTATGAAATACCGAAATGAGATACTTGAAAAAGTCTCTTTCGATTGGCAAAGCTTTAACAAATTGCTTTATGAGACCCAGTTTTATATGCACTGGTGGAAATAAAATGTTCTTTCTGTCGACAAGTGGCTGATGTATTATAATGTTTGGATCAGCAGGTTTCAGGTCAGATCTTGGCGATCAATTCGACTGCCCACAGTGCTTTTCACGAGCTCTCTCTCCTGTCTCACATGCACAAAAATCAGAGATATTTGGTTGCTGGGGAAGGAAGAAATAGAGCATTTTAAGGTCGAACACAGATGATCCATTGATGCGTGTGATATTCCAGCAAATCAATAACGTTCCTTATGTTTTCATAATCTTTCTATTGGGACTGAACCAAATAAAGTTCCATTGTGGAGGAGGACGCACATCAAGCTCCGCTTTGAGCTATAGATGAACAATCGCCATTGCGTTGCATAATAGGCTGAAATTCCCAACTCTTCCACTAAAAATCCATGTACGTTATGGCAATATGCAAATCCGTCATCACTACAGAAATGCACTTTTTCTTAATAGAAAGTAGGACACATTTTACAAGCAAATACGTTTTCTACAATTTTGATGCTAACAGCTCTGAAGCGTTTTTTGGATAGTTCCAAATCTCGTCCCAAATCGTTCAACTCATGCTGATCAAATCCCTTAAAACGGATTCCCCAAAACGTGGGGTAAAATCCCCCAAAACGGAACCATCTCCAATTTCAAAATCTTTGTCGTTGAGGTCAATTTGATATTTACCAGAATCGTATTCCTGGATTTCCAAAGAGGGTAATTCTTTGAAAACTGGCATTGGGAGTTCAGTTGAGCGAGGCACTGGGCGTATAGCCCTGATGATGAACTAGAATAGTCTATTTTACGTTTAATTTTCTGTTTATAACATGACGTTTTCACTGTACTAAAGTAAAAATCACTTGAATGATTTTAGTGCCATCGCCAAGTCATAAGTATACCAAATAGAAATTTAGAATGTGTTTTCTTAATCCACATCCGTAAATTCTCCAGACACTCCTTACACACTTTGTGAACGGCTCATTATATATAACAGGGATGGCCAAACTTCATGTTAGGAAGAGCCGCATCTAGATTTTCTAAAAGCCACAAGTTCAGATTTACATCATTATAATAGTAGCGGAGGAGGTTTTAAATGGAAAGAAATCCCTGATAACTTTGTAAAAAGAGTATAAACTAATTAATTAATTCTTTTCGGACACTGAATAGTTTTAGTTTACCATATTTCAAACATATATTTTATATGCAGGAGCCGCAAAAATTGACTGCAAGAGCCGTATCAGGTTCGCGAGCCGCACTTTGGCCACCCCTGACATATAATCATCACCTGTTATCGTTTTGAAATAGGCAAAAACGGCTTGCCTGACAAATATGCTGATGTTTGTTCTTTAATTGGGAATGATGAAACTGCCATATATAAAACAAAACGAATCGGGGCTGTTTAAGCACTTAGAACGCGAACCAACAGAGGCAGACATAAGAAAAGGTTTTAACTCACATGTAAATAAAAACTAAACAGTTTTACCCTCCTATACAAACAAGAACTTGGACTCCACGTCGGAATGTGCTTCACTATATCAGAGCAATGCACAACGCCTCACTACAGTATCTCAGGCGTAAAGGAGCTGGTCTAGATAAGTATGTACCGGATTCTGGTCTCCTACAGCGTCATTCACCCAGCGCCAATCGGAGGGTTTATGGCGCCCATAGGATAGCAGTAATACTTGCTATGATCCACGCTTAATCCGCATCACAATATCTTACGTAAACGGCAGTGAATACATCTTTTATCCAATTCCCGATTAAGATGTTTATTCAGAGCCGAAACCTTTAACATTCTTCCATCCGTCTACTGAATGTGCAGTCATCCTGCCTTGTTTACTACATGCAAGGATGCTGTAGCTCACCTATCTTCCTATCATCCATTGTATATCTTTAGATGTGAATTTCAAAGAATGTTGTGCAGGTTCAGCGCAGATTGCGCTCACGAAGACATGTGAATCAGGGCTTGCGTCTCAGGAGTTTTATCCAGTAATAAAATTATGTAAATCTACTGCTATATCTGTCTGTTAGTGATATCCTTCTATCTACGCAGTAAAGTTTTTCCAAGGTATTACAATGAATATCCCTCTCCAAATCCTTTACACCTTTCTATCTATTACACATACGCATAGTATACGTCTCTGGAATGCATATATTTAATTGATAAAAATAGCAATAGATGAGAATTATCTCGTTTTTTTCCCACATTAAACAAACAAAATTCTTTCGTAAAGTTATATTTATCAGTAAAAAATAAATAAATGAAAATAAAGTAAATAAAAAAATCAAGAAAATTACCTTATTTTCTTTTTATTTAAAGTAAAACATTTCCCTCTTCATTTTCAATTTTGGCAATTATTTTCTATTGCTTGTGGCTTGGATTTTGAATACTAGTGTTATGCTCCAATCTTCGAAATATTTTAGGAGGTCAGTAAGAATTGACTGTTTTAACTATGCTCTAAAAGTAAAAAGGAAAATTTTCTAATTTTCTGTACTTTTGTTTGCTTGTATGTTCTCTATCAGATAGAAAACACCTGATAAATCCAACTTCAACAGAAAGCTTTTTGTTTGCTTAAAGTGAGAGAGAACCAAGATGATGAATTATCAATTGTTGCTTTTTTATCAATTATGTTACAGACATTAATATCTGAAAATCTGAATCTGATTTAATATCTAAAATTCTCTTTTCCTTAAAACGACTAAATATTGTAGGAGTATTCTTAATAAATTAAAACATTATTCTCTTTTCCTTGCAATGGCTATATATTTTTCTGGAGTACTCTTAATAAATTAAAACACTAATTATTAAATCAAATATTTTGAGGGATATGTATTTAAAAGAAGAGCTATGCATCTCCGAGTGTAAGTATTTTATCTTTCAGCCAAAGATGCCGAAATCGAAATTTTCTAATGACGAATGCCAATAAAGTTATACTAAAACACTTGAAGAAAAGTGAATGAGCAGTTCTCAGACATCACAGTCTAACAGAATTCTCTCTTTGCTTAATTATATCTCAAACACTAAAGCTGTACAACTATCTCATTGTGTAAAGTTATCTTGGAAGCACATCTATTTTGTAAATTACCTACAGTTCAAATTCTGCATAGGCTAATATGCACTTACAATATATGCAACAAATAAAGACCTACATTTATGAAATTACAAAAAAAGTATTATTTGCAATAATAAAGGATAGACTACGATAACTCATTCTTCGGAGCTGTCATAATGATATTTTCCTATAATACATATAGTGCCCGACCGTTTAAAATATCTTATTTATGCTTTTAGTAATA